CAGAAATCTGGATTTCCACCCTTAGGTTCATAGGGCGGTGATTTTTGGTCAATTTGCATAAGTCTTGAAGGTTCCATTCTCCCCACAGAATGAAATAATGCTTGTGAAAGGCAGGCTGAAAATTGACAAGCACACTGTACCTATGAGAAGTTATTCTAAAAAAATAGGGAAAATTCAATTTGTCCTCTCTTTCCTTCTCCAGGCACAATGCTATGGGGCAGGAGCAATGCAGAGAAAGTCCTTGACCTCTGGGGTCCACTTCTCTCTTCTTGGGCTCTCCCACCTGGGAACTGGATAATTCAAGAGTGGAAGAAACCCCAATGAAGGGAATCATACCATGGACCCAAGCAGTGAACATGGTTCCATCAACATGATCCAAGCAACAAGCCAGCCACAAACTTAGTAAGGGGGGGGAAAAAAGCTAGCAACACAAAAACAAAGAACTCTCAACTTTACAAACACTGGGAGGGCAACAGCTGGTCAGCTGAGATTAAAGGAGCGTGAGAGAGCACCTCCCCATCTCCTGACTTCTCCTCCCCCATAGAGGTCCTTGCAGCCAGTCAGGGCTTGCTTTTACAGCTCTGTGAAGATGACCTTGTTCCAGCTAAGATAGGGGCTCTTTTGATCTCAGCAGGGGGATGCTCTGGGCCTGCAGCTGGCAGATATTAATAGTACAGGATCCGCTGGGGTGGAAGAGATCTCTCAGTTGGGCCAGGTCACTTATATTCATTCCCTGCTCTGCATCAGAGCAGAAGGGACTTCATTTCCCTGAATTGGCCCCTGCTGGGTATTTCCCTTAGGTCAACTCAGATCATTTTATCGCTGGCTGCTCTTGGCCGCTTGTTCTCACCCTACAACCGTTTTCAAGGGAGCACTGTTTAAGCCGTGCCCTCTGCTCTGCAGCTGAAATCTATTACAGGGCAGGGTGGACCCTGAGCTCACCCCATTGGTGTGTTTCTCACTCTCACAAGTTTGCACACACATCTTCTTGTGTATAGGTCTGTGTGGGGGAGAGGCAGAGAGGGCAAGAGACAGACAAGACAGGAATTGTTTAGAGTCAGGAGAGAGCAATGTGGGGAGAGGAGGCTCTTACAAGTATGCCAAAGTATCAATGCTAAGATTCCTGAAGATCCTTTCTATTATGCTTAATCTAGGAAAATACAAGGCCATTCTTCCCACACCATAAATCAGAATTTTAAAACCCCATCAACAAGTGAATACTCCTGATCTTCAGACCCACATCATGATCTCACAACGGTAGAGCTAGAAAAGACTTCAGCAATGTTGTATTTATCCAGCCTGTCCTTTAATAGAAAAAAACCCAAGTTATCAAAAGACCTGCCCAAGATCACAGAGCTAATAACACAATGTCAAAGCTGATACACGGCATGCTGGAGACAACAAAATAATTTATACCTATTAATCATAGTGGCATTAACAACCATTGCAATGTATTTGAATAGGTAGGTATAAATGTTCTAGGAAAATGTTCTAGGAAAATTGTCCATTTTAGTTTACTGGTAAGGAACTTCATTATAGACTTCAGGAAAAAATATTTCTATAGCCTCTTTACCTGCTCAGCTATACAAAGGAAAGCTCTAGAAAAATCAATTATTTCCATTGCCCCTAGGATTTCGTAATTTTAAAAAGTTGTCAAAGGATGAGCGGGTAAGTCTCCCCTTGCCCTGAACACACCTTTACCATTTTCTGGAAGCAGTTACACCGGAGCCCCAAAACAATTTCTTTGTATCTGTTTTTGTTCCTCTTCTTTTTTTTTTTTTTTTTTTTTTAAATTTTTTTTTTCAACGCGTTTATTTATTTTTGGGATGAAGAGACAAGAGCATGAGCGGGGGAGGGGCAGAGAGAGGGGGAACACCTGGGAATCCTGCGAATAACAGGCTCCCAGGCTCCCTGAACCATCAGCCAGCCAGAGCCCGGCAGGCTCGAACTCCACCGGGACCCATGAGGATGTCGTGTGACCTGGCCTGAGTCAGGACGGCTCAACAGGCGGCCTCGCCATGCCTGAGGCGCTGTATCCTCTTCTTTACTTAAGATAAAGAAAATGAACAAAGCATAAAGTACTATTACTTATTGTTTTTTTTAAGTTTATTTCTTTTGAGAGAGAGAAAGAGAGAGAGAGAGAATCCCAAGCCTACTCTGCACCATCAGTATGGAGCCTGAAATGGGGCTCAAGCGAACACAGATCACAACCTAAGGCCAAATCAAAGAGTTAACACCGCCAACTGGCAAACAGAACCACCCTAGCCCCATACACCCTTCCCACTGCTGCTGGTTTTAAATAAGGAAACAAAAATTTTTTTTTCTCCTCAAGGCTGACTAAATGAGTGTGTGTGTGTGTGTGTGTGTGTGTGTGTGTGTGAAATAAATCACAATTTTTAATCAGGTGCTTTGTGTGAGTCTCATGGTTACTGTTTACAAAGTATTTACTTTGGTATCCATTCAGCATTTATTTACTGCCTACTATAAGCCTAGAACTTTTCTAGTCACTTAGGCACAACCATAGATGCAAAAAGAATACAAGATAGCCGGTGCCCTTAAAAAAATCTTCCAATCTAGGGGCACCTGGGTGGTTCAATCAGTTGAGCATCAGACTTCAGCTCAGGTCATGAGATCACAGTTAGTGGGTTTGAGCCCCGTGTCGGGCTCTGTGCTGACAGCTCGGAGCCTGGAACCTGCTTCGGATTCTCTATCTCCTTCTCTCTCTGCCCCTCCCCTGCTCTGTGCTGGGTCTCTCTCTCTCTCTCTCAAAACTAAACATTAAAAAAAAGTCTTTTTTTTTTTTAATCTTCCAATCTAGTCAGGAAAACATGAAAAGTTAAATTAGTTTTCCTAGACCTTTTCTTTAGAAAGCAGAACAGGTAGAAGGGTCACAGAGGAGGAAGAAGGAGTGAGACCAGTGCAGACTGGAACAAACAAGGGGATTTTGTGAAAGTGGTGGCCTTTAAATAAATCTTGAAGGGGTCAGGGAATTTGGGAAGAAAGGAAGCAGTAGAAGTGAAAAAGGGAAATGCTATTCTAGATGGAACATGCTGTCTCTGCAGTGGCATGGAGACAGGAGTGGGGAGTGGTGGGCAGAAAGTCAACATGGTTGGCATAGGAGTTCACCCAGGACACTGGCAAGAACCAAGGGGAACAGGAAGAAAAGGGCAGACTGTGAGGGGTAAGGAAGCATTAACTGTCTCTAGTGGTATTTTGGAAACTGATCCACACAAAAGAGAAGAAAAGCAAAAAAATCCTGATTTTTAGCATGTGCTGATTCCCATGGTGTAAATCCTTCCACCCTGGCTGATTTCAAGCTAACAAACCACAAATTCCTGAATATTTTAAAAGTGACTTCTTGATTTAAGCCCATTCTCAGGAAATGAGCTAAAACAACTCCAAGATTTCTGAGTAGGAAAGTGACACAGTAAAAGGAAGCCAGATTCGGAGAGTTTAATTTGGTGGTGGCAGAATGGAAATGGCAGTGAGGCTAGAGTTGGGAGGCCGTTTTGGGATCTATAAAAATAATCTAACTGTGAGTTTAATAAGTCAGCTGATCACAATACAAATTACAAAGAAGAGGTGACTGGCTGGCTCAGTCAGTAGAGCATGCAACTCTTGATCTCAGGGTCATGAGTTCAAGCCCCACACTGGGCATGGAGCCTACTTAAAAAAAATGTATACTATCCATAAACATTTTTTAAAAAATTTACAAAGAACAGGGGACAGAGGAAAAAATATTATCTGGAAAGAAGAGCCAAGAAGACTGGATGACAGGAGCGCAGGGAGGGAAAAAGAGTAAACGATTCGGGTTTTCGGTCCAGGTGATGGGGGAGAGATGAAACATCACTGAATGTGGAAATAGGGGATGCAGGGCATTTTACAACTTTAAAAAATAAGTAATTAGGGTTTTTTTTTAAATGTTTATTTATTTATTTTGAGAGAGAGAGAGAGAGTGTGTGTGTGTGAGTGGAGGGAGGGAGAGAGAGAGAGTAAGACAGAGAATCCCAAGCAGGCTCCTCACAGACGAGCCCCACTCGGAGCTTGATCTCATGAACCATGATATCATGACCTGAGCCGAGATCAAGAGTCAGACGCTTAACTGACTGAGCCACCCAGCTGCCCCCAAGTAATTAGTTTTCACTCTGAAAAACACCGAGAAGCAAGGGCTGTGGTCCTTCCAATTCTTGAGATGGTAAACTGCGGCCAATCCATGCAAGACCACCTGGCAGTCAGGAGCCTCACCAGGCCTGCAAGTCCCATCTGCTCCCTCATGAAGACTTCGCAGAAAATGGAAGAGCAGAGGGATCTGTCACAGCTAATGCACATTTATCCAGCCCACAACCAGCAGAGCTCCGAAATGTCACATAAGAACTTTCAATAAAACTAGAAACCACCCACTGGCTCAGTGGTGTAATTCCCCTTGCTACGTAAACCATAGCCAGCCTGACCTTTGCTAGCATGGGAGGGTGGAGAAAAGTTTGCAGATTTACCGACGTGGAGAGTTTTTCTTAATCTTTATGTAAAGCTGGTTGGGAATGCCCCATCTCTAGCACATGATGCCGGTATACACTTTCAGCCAGTCCCAAAGCACCCAGCACCAGCAAAAGGCTACATTGCCATGGGACCACCAGGAAAGCCAACCTGTGAGCATCAATCTCAAGAACCAAGCCACTCAGCAGTTTGCCAGCCCTCGTACTAAGGACCCAAAGCAACCTACGGAGCTGTGACAAGGCTCAAGGTAGAGGTGATGGATGTCTATGAGGGTGCTTCACTCAGATGAAAAGGGGAGCTCGCCTCTGGAGACAGGGCAAGAGACTCTCCAAATAGAAGGGATTGGATGCCAGGAAAGTTGGCTAAGCTAAACCTCCAGGCTCTGGCTGGGTTCACTGGTCAGGGCCTGTTAGCCCAATCTCCCCGCGCAACAAGGGGCAGAGAGGAGAGGCCGTGGGACTGTACGTCAGTGTCAGATTTCAGCCCCTCTAGGACAGATCCCTTACCTTCAGACAGGGACAAATCATCAGCTGGAGACACCAGGTCTGCCTGGGAAGCTAGGGCTCCACTTAGATGCGTTGTAATTTGATTCGTCAAGATAACCTGTGAACAGACAGGGAGAAGGTGGGGGAAGAGAGAAGAAAGAGAGCAAATTAATTATTAGAGCTCTCAAAAGACAGACTGGTTCAGGGGAGGACTGATAAGCACACAGGTAGGAAAACCCCAGCTCCGACTTTCATCAGTTTTATCTTTAGGCCAGAATATCTAGCAAAACCTATAGGTCACTGAAAACACAGAAAACGGGAAACACGCTTCTTTTAGAGCTTAAACCACCAATCAATTCTTTCTCAATGCTGAGTAAATTGGGACTGAGAGGTGCTGTCATATTAGCTAAGTAACAGAAGTCTACCCAGAGAGAATTAAGATGCATAGGAACACATTTTGTCAAACTTCAATTTTTAGGATTATATCCACAACCCAAGACATTGCTAGTGCTAAATAAAAGCGGTAATTTAAAATTTGAATGCCTACAGCGTCTTCCTTATTAACTCAAGGTCAGAGTTTTAGTTCCAAATTTGTGAAACTGTAATAAGATTCATCTGTAAAGGAACAACACTGTTCTTCTAAATTCGTTGAACGCCAACAAAAAACTTCCAATCTCACTATGTATTTAAAACACAAATTAATATAATCCTACCTATGCAAAATAAGGCTCATGACATTTCAAATCCATATGATCCACTGCCACACAGTGGCACTTGATTCAGCCAAGAAACCATTCTTTTCCTGAAAAATCTTCACTTATAAAGTTTACTATATTGTTTAGAACCCTGAAGGAAGAATACACTACAGATTCTCTCCTGGAACATTACAACATGACTCACGCCACAATCATTTCTCAAGATTTTGTTCCCATGATGCATAAACACTGTGAGCATCTTGGTCACTCAGAGGAAACCTCCCTTCTGAAAAGGGTACTAGGCATTTAGTATCTGGAATAAGCATCTCGTTGGACTGTCTTGGTCTGTCCCGAGGGTCAGCTATGATTTTGCTGCCACCCTAATTTGAACAGAAATGGAAACTGTCTCTATTCTTTATTGTCCAGCTTCTCAGCCACACCTCTGTCACTGTCTCTTGAAGGAACCAGGGCCACATTATAAATCCTATACCAATGGCAGTTTAATTGAGGGCTGAGAGGTGGAGCATGATGGCAAGGTCAGGCAAAGAAATGAAGTACTCTATTAGCAAAGATGACCTTTCCAAGGTCTTTGTTGTGTCAGCTAGGCTTGTGGGTCTCTAGCTATGCTGTAGTGATGATCAGACAGTGCAGCCTTCTGCTGAGTATTTGCTAACCTTGCCTTCATATTCTTCTGTATTGCCTCTTTTCATCTGGACTGGTGAGAATCACATGCTATATGCCTTCAATTACAATGGCTTTATACAGTCAAATCACAGCCTGCTCTTTCAAGAACAAATGTTCATTTTTAGGAGTATGAATAAAAATGAAGTCCATTTCTCTCTTTATAATATAAGGCATATGCTCTGGAGTTTAATAAAACTGGGTTCAAATTCTGACTCTGACACTGTGCATCTTGGGAAAGTTACTTAAACTTTTGAGCTTCATTTATTCATAGGTAAAAATCACACCTATCTTATAGAATTTTTACCAGAATTAAGTGAGATAATCAATGTGAGGTACCTAACATAATGTCTGGCACATAGTAAATATTCAATAAATGGAAGCCATATATTGTTACCATATATAGGTTAATAAGTTAGTAAATGCCACGTGCTTCAGACGACTGGATCTAATGTGAGAACACTGAATTACAATTTTTCTACATTAGGATATACTTCAGTACTTGATCATTTCTACCAATCCTTAGTCCTTCTTAAGTTTTATTCAACTGCTAAGAATTTATGTTAAAATACCAGTAAGAAAAATAACAGTTATTTAAAGGCAGGTCAATAAGATACTGAAAATACCATGTGTTTTATTTACCAATAAGCAAAACACTGTTATCTGTCTGCCCTAGTTTTTTAAAATGTGAAGCTTCTGAGAGATCAAAATAGGTAAGCTCTACTTTTTTAGAGGATTCTTCTATAAGATGGCTTGGTGAAAATGAAATAACTCTAATGATATGGCAATAGTAATATGAAAAAATATATATATTGAATACTTACCTTCCAAGGCAGGTTACCATATACACAGGAGAAAATAAAGAGGTAAAGGCACCATATGTCTTCTCTAGAAACTTGTAAGTTAAAAGACAAGCCATTTACCAAAATATTCAGTTCGTTTTTCCCCTCAATTTCATTACCATTCCACTATAATGGAAACTTGTCCTGAGATGATGGTTTTGTTATACCCAACTATTAAGTTCTATTCTGCGGAACCAAAAACCAAACTGCAGACGTCCCTCAGAAGGCACTCACTCCAATTTACACTCCCAATGGAAGACTAGATGGAAGAGAAAACATTTCACTCTCCAATGGCAAGAGAATCAGCTCCTAGGGGGTTTTGCTAATAATCCTCT